TATCGCACTGTTTTGTACACCTTGAGTTCGCACTGTCTTGTGCAAATTGCATCGCACTGTTTTGTGCATTCATCCTACACAACACTGTTTTGTGCATTTACCTGCATAGCACTATTTTGTGCATTCATTTACATCGCACTGTTTTGTGCAAATCATCTGCACTGTCTTGTTCCCTTGGTCTAGAAGACCTTAAATCCTCTAAAGGTGCAATTTCTTTGGTGTTTTTCGTGTCTGAATGACTTCAGGCGGTCTGGTATAGCCACCTATCTGTGTTTGCGATGAGTTCCTAGGAGACCAACTGAGACGATGACAACTAGAGTTCGAATGGCGATGCCTAGAATGCAAAGGTTCAGAATTTCTGAGACTAAAGTCTGGTTTAAATACCCAGGAGTGTATCCTCGGCTTGAAATCTGTATGACAGCCCCATAGATTGAGGTAGTTTGTATGTGCCTCAATTCTAGATACTGAACTAACCTAGTCCGTCACCCTGTTGAAGAATAGAGAAAGTTGCGAACATGGCCAAGAAGAAAAGTAGTACTCGTAGTTTTGAAGCATGAGTTGAAGGAAAAAGTCGTTAAAACCAAGAAGAAGCGGAAGATCCCCAACAGCATGAGGTGAGTCATCCCAATTACCCCTGTAAGGTGCTTTCTAAGGCACCACTTCCTAGTTGCTACATCGCATCTATTATCTAGTACTTCTATTACATTGCATATAGAATTTATTGTATGCATCTACTGCATTATCCATTTTATCGCCTGCATCCTTTCCATGTTAAGCTTAGTCTAGTATGGGCTCATACCTTTCCCTCGTTGAAACGTGGTTCTGTCATGTGTAAGTACCCATGCTGCGCTGAGGCCAGTATTGAGGGTGTTAACACCTTTTTTGTGTTAGACGTGGTCTGTTTTGTGTCCATACCTTTTCTATATAAGACGTGGTTTGGCTTACGCCCTTTATTCACTTCATCCATTGCATCCATTGCATTGTACTTTGTTTTGTTGCATTCAGCATTTAGGATCATTATCTTTCCCCAGCAAATCATTCCTCACTTATATCATACCACCTAATTACTTTTACTCTTTCTCTTTTTGTGAAAAACATAGTTCTGCATGTACTCACACCCTTTCTACGTTGAAACATGGTTCTGTTATGTGTAAGCATCCATGCTGCGCTGAGGCCAGTATTGAGGATGTAGGCATTTAGCCTGTGTTAGGCGTCATTTGGTTGTGCACACTTCTTTTCTATGTAAAATGTAGTTTGATTTGCATCTCTATTCCTTGTGGTTTGATTATATTATTGCATTGTGCATCATTTTGCATTCTGCCCTTGAACAACGCTAGTTTGATTCCTTGCAACAGGATACGTAGGCAATCCTCGGGTTAAACCAACTGCATCTGCATTTTGTTTGTTTTCCCAAGTCTTACGGCCTTGTCAAAATAGGTCGTCTTCGGGCTTTGACATTCACTCACATCATTTCAAGACTTCAAACTCTGTCAAAGTGGGGCAACTGTAGACACCCCAATTTCGACTGCCCTTAAGACTTGGGCGCCACTAATTAATCACTCGATAATGAAAATTATGATGTGCAAATGTTTGATTTCTTTAGCAAGAAGAGCTTCTAAATCCCAATCTTACACCCCATTTTTGGACCAAAACTATTTTAGACCATAAAACCCTCTTTTTCAAAATATTTTTGAAAATGTTTCTATGATGTTCCGAGGCTCTTATTTTGTTTCAACTATTACACTTTTCGGTAAATCAAGTGAGGACAAAGTGAAGATAGATGGAAGAGAGGTGAACTCTTTGAAAATCTTTAAAAACATCTTATTTAGAGATTTGGAGTTGAAGAAAATTGGAGGAGAGGGAAGAGAACTAGTTGGGGGGTTGAGCATGAAACCGTTAAGAGAGAACTGAGCAGCCTTTACTAAATCAAGTCTATCACTTTGTACACTTAGACTTTAGTTATGAGGCTACCACCATTGGAAAGTGGACTTCCAGGGCCTCAATTTAGACTCAAGAATCTCCTAAATCCGATTCTAAATGAAAGAGATATGGCCATTTGAAATTAGGCATCAATCTGATTAAGATAGAAATGAGCAACCTTTACTAAAATATGCATATCTCTTTGCACACTTAGAATTTAGATGTGAGGTTCCATTGGAAAGTGGACTTCCAGGGCTTCAATTTAGACTCAGGAATCACCTAAAACCGAGTCCGAATGAAGGAGATATGCTCGTTTGAAGTCGGGCTTGGAAGAAGATTTTTGTGGTCAGTAGCCCACTATTTGTGGACGGTCGCCCACTACTTCTGGCCTGCCGGCCACTTGTGTAAAACCCAGATATTTGTTGCCAGCTATCCTTCAAAAGCTCCAGTTGTCCCTATATAGATATTTCCTACCTAAGAGGCTGTTTTTCTATATATACCAGACAAACCCTCTTGTTTTTAGGTTACAAAAAAATTCCAAAGGGACCAAAACTTGAATTTTTCTCTCTATCTCTATCTTGCAACCTATACACTCTGTATCTACACTTCCTAAACCAATATTGGAGCTCTCCTTGCTGAGTTTATTGAGTCCAAATTTCAGCCCTTGAGAGTGTAAGCTTTGTGGTTTATGAACAAAAGAGTTGCCTTGCTTCAAGAGGTATAATTTTGAGCATCTTTACACTACTTGTTTTCTATATTTTCTTGTTAATTTTGAACTATTTTTACACTGTTTTTATGGGCTGGAACTTGTGGTTTAAAGCTACCAAAGGTGGAAGGGTTAACCACCCTTCTTGGAGCCTTGTTCTCTAAGTTTTTACCCATGTGTTTCCCATTCTTTTCTCAACTTTTTTTGAGCTTCTTACCACTGATTTTTAGATGTTTTTAGAGGCTAAAAATATAGTTTTGAAGTCCCAAAAATAGAGGGGTTAGCCTCCCCTCCTTATACTTGTTTACTAGTTTAAATTCCTCAATATTGTAGCTAACTTTTTCAAGATTTTCCATGTGAATTTTAGCACTTTTTTTTGCTTACTTTAGGACAGTTTTAGGCTGGTTATTTCATTTATGCTTTGTATAGCATGCTTGTAGTGTAATAGTCCTCATAGGTTTGGTGGTTTAGGCCTTAGCCACCAACCTATTTAAGTTGATAGTGTTTATTTCTTGCTTTTCATACATATTTTCATCTCTAATCATCTCTGCAACCTCCCTCCTTTCTTGGCTTTTTCTTTGCTTTAAAAGTTGTTTCCAACTACTTGTTTGTTTAAGCTTGAGATAGAGGTATTGTGCTTAATGGTTTAATCCATTTCGGGGTTGGTTCATTACCAACGGCATGACACTTCTCTCATGCCTAAACCAACACTTGGTTTGGTGCTCATTTCCATTAGAGGACTTAAAGCTCACTTTTGGACTTAATGAACTAAGGAATGGTTGGTAATTAAAATGAAGTAATAAAATTGAGACTAAAAATGATGCAAGATAATAAGCAACTTGGGTTCAATTGGACGTTAATTCAACCCATTGAGTCTTGATTTGTTTCGTACTTGTTAGTGATGTAAATGATTCCAAGGTCAATGTCAACCACTTCTCTTGATTAATCCATGATAGGGAGGGGGGTTTTGCGAGTCTTTTATTGTGCATTTATTGAAATTGTACACCTTGGTTCATAGGCCATCATGCAATGAAATTGCATCGATTGATGGCTTGTGAATTGAGCTTGCCACTCTTTTGAACTGTTTGATGATAAGGAGTGGTAAGGTGTACAAACATACCTTGAGAATAACCTGTTTGTGCTCTGTATGCTTTCTGTTGCAGCAGGAGGAACCAAGCTTCAGTGGCCGGCAGGCCACTTCTTTTGGACGGTAGGCTACCATTTGTAGCCGGCCAGCCACTACTTCTGGCCTGTTGGCCACTTTTGTTAAACTGAACAGCAACTTTTTGGGAATAGAACAGAGTAGAGGTTGAGGTGAAAAGATGTTCTAACTGTGCAGTAGAGGCATTTTGGCAGTAGAACAGTGGGCTTTTCGGGTGCAAATCCACGCATGCATGAGAATTTCTCACTTTCCAGGGCTGATTAGTTAGCTTAGTTACTTTTTTCATGTTGTAATTAATCAATTAGTTCCATAGAATAGTTAGTTAATTAATTGGTTTTGTAATAATTAGCTAGCATAGTTAGTTTATTCGGTTTGTAATAATTGGTTAAATTCGTTTTGTAATATATAGTTAATTAGCTTAGCTAGTTAGTTTATTCGGACCCTCCTGCGTGAGGGCGCAATGTTGTAATAACATGTTTGGCTTTCAACCCCACGTGTTTCTTCCCTTTATTTAACTGCTTATGATGGTTAGTTTAGGGCATCATATTTTGTTTAGCATCTCTCATGCCTTGCATCCATTGTCTTGCATGCACCGAGCTCGGCGCATCATTCTAACTTGCATTGCTAGTTAAAATTGCATTGTTAGTTAATACTTCTTTGAATACGTGCTTAGACCACATACTATCAAATTAATTCATATGCTATATTAGTAGCCGAGCCTAGTAATTACATATCGCATGCGTTATATTAGTCATATTGCATAGTTAGGATCACTCATTTTTTCTAACTCTGTCATCTTTTTTGGCTTGGAGTAGTAGGTGAGCTTTTATTCACTTTAGCATATTGCATTGTATGCTAGTGTTATCATGTCAAAGCATGTTCACCATGAGGCTAAGAGCTTATATGATAAACTGTTTGAATGCCTATGAATGAAGGCTAATTGCTTGACTTGGGATAATTTGATTAATGTCCATTTTAGCCCACTTTTTCGAGTGGCAAATTCACAAAACAATTTTAAACAAAACATGAAATCAAATGTTCCAATTCTTGCAAAATTAGTCTATACTTGTGTGCAATACATAGTAATATAGCTAATAATCATAACAAAAGCATATAATGTAAATAAGAATCACATCATGGTTAGTAGAGGCCGATCTTTGATCGAACGAGTGGGTTGCTCAAAAATTGTATATAAAGTGAGAGAATAGTAAAACCTTTAGAACTTGAAGAAGGGTTGAGATTCTCGGCATACAGTGGCGTATAACCTCTTGTTTCTCTGTGAAGCAATTTCATCTTCTCTTCAAGGGGGAGTGAGAAGAATCTTTTGCTCTCATCAAACACTTGCTTAAGCAACTCCTGCTCTACCCCATGGTTTATGAGGTAAAAAAAACACATTCTATGCATGCCTACACCACACATCCGAATACTAATGAATTTGGGAACAACATGATGAATCATTCTAAAAAACAAACCAAATTAATATTACCATTACTGGCCCATTTCTAACAGTTTATAAGCTTTCCAGTTAATTGGCTTACCTTAACAATTAACAACTATATGCTTATCAGAAAGAATTCTTTAGGCTGTGTTTGTGGAGAAAAAATAAAAAAGGAAAGAAAATGTGGAGGGGAAAAAAAAATAAAAAAAAAGAAGCTTAATTCAAATTTTTCTTCCCTTTTCTTTTCCCCATGTTACAAAATAAGGAGTTGTTTGGATAACCCAAGAAATTTAATAGTATCACTGCACCATTCATAGCTTTTAACATCGTAAAGTAACATTGCATATAATTAATGAGTTTATCTATTCTATTATATAATGCTAGCACCCAAGTTGGTGTGAACACTGTCACCCATTTTACCATTCCCAAACTGCCCTTATGCAATTACCTCAGTATGTAACTAGTTGATTTTCAATACACACCGTCTAGTTAAGCAAATGACTTCCCAAATGACATTATATCACTTGTCCACTATAACATTGCTGCTTTTCTAAGCTGAAATATAACTAAGTATGTAAACATTCAAGTCCAATGGGATGTCCAAACACGCCCTAAATGCACGAACATGTAACTTGATTTTAATTTCTGGGTACTTTTGTCTTGATTTGCATATATAATATACTACCAAATTTAAAAAAAAAATTAAATTAAATTAATTAAAAACAAAAACACACGCCTGATGACACTACAACAAAAGCTGCCTATAATTTGTTAGACAACGTTTTTTGAAAAACGCTGTGGAATAAAGTGAAATTACGCGTTATCCTTTCTTATAAACACGCGTTCCATTTATAACAGTGCTCACTCTCCCCCAGTCTTTATTTCTCTTATCGTTTTCTGTGTCTCTCCTCAGTCTCCTTGAGAGATTCACCAGGTTCGATTGCGATTACTTGTTCAGATCTAATTCTAAATCCATCGATTCTTGAATCGATTTGGTTGAAATTTCATGACGGTTTTTGTTTTTCTTGATTCTAATTCTGATAATTTTGCAGAGGAAGATAGACCAGTTGAGTGAAGAAGGATCAGATCATTGGGATCAAGACAGGAACCGGGACCGAGATCGGTCGAGTCGGAGCAGGGGGAGGAGAGGAGATAAGTTGATTCACAGGAGTAATAGAGAAGATGGTGGTGAGGACAGTTCAGAGGAGAGCGTGAATGATGAGGGGGACGATGACGATGGAGTCGCCGCCACCGCCGCGGTGAGGATGTTGCCGCCTAATCCAACGACGTAGATGTCGTCTTCATTACTGAACCACCACCATCAGCACCGGAAGAGCTTTCCTCTGCAACTACAAAATCGTCAATGTCGTCGATGTCATCTTCAAGGTATCTCTTTAATTAATTGTCAATGTGTAAATTTTAAACTTGGACATCCTCATTTCATGTCTTTTGCTTGTTTCTGCTTTAAATTTGAGATCGTTACAAGCTTTTGAGGCATAATTTACAGAAGAAGAGCATGGAATGTATGTTAGTTAGGGGAAGTTTTTATGTGTATCAGATCTCTTTTAACCTCCCATCTGTAGCTTTATTCCTTGAAAACCCATGTTTATTGTTTTGGATGATTCTTTTAACCTCCCATCAGGCCACCTTTAAAGTAGTTGATTTGGTGAGTTTGACCTCCTTTTTTTTTTGTTTTTATTTAAAGGTTTGATTGTTTGATGGTACTCGATTATCGATGTTGATGTTTTTTTTTTATATATATCAAATTATGTATATGGTTCATAGGATGATTATGCGGCAGATGATGAGGAATATGAGGAGAAGTCGAAGAAAGAGAGTTTGGCATTTTTCTTTTTAGCTACGTGAGTTTTTAATTCCTACCTTCCTCGTTAATCACATATAGACATGATGTATATATATATCTGATTGTTTGTAACTTTGTGCGTAGGCGTAGCTATGTATTAAATTTATTTTCTTGTTTGTTTGTGCTGTAGATATGAAAATGGTGAGCCAACGGACAATGCTGCAAGGTTCTATAAATGGTTTACAGAGATAAATTTGAATAATTTCAGTGTATATTGATATTATGGTTCTTTGAGAAAGTAGATTTGGGGGGTTCATTGTTTGTTATATATGATTTTTCATAGGGTAAAGAGAGAGGGGAATGGCTTCAGAATCTTACTTATGGAGTGTTTGGCCTTGGCAATAGACAGTATGAGTACTTTAATAAGGTCTTAATTGAATTTCATCTCATCTTTTTATCAACTTAATGTATATCTATGTGTACATGTAGATGTTGCTAATTGGCTAAGAAGTTTGAATTTGTATGTTGTTGGGAAACAGATAGCAAATGAGGTGGACGAGCACCTTGCTGAGCAAGGTATGTTTACGCCCTTCTAGTGACCTTTTTTTGTCAATTTATGGAAACACTTGTTGTAATTCTTATTAGTTTGTGATGTGTACTTATTGTGCACTTGTTACCTTGAGTTGGTGTTTAATAAATACGTGTACTTATTGTAATGCTTATTAAGTATTTAAAATGTTTAATAAACCCTTCAGTTGTTCATTTTCCCTTTTGTCCGTTACTTTCAGCAACAGGTAGGTTGGTCCGATGGCAATGGAGGCTGAATTTGGAATTTCTACTCCACGAAACCCTTCTCAGGTTTGATTGAGCCTCTCTTTCTGAATTATTATTATTATTATTATTTCTCTGCATTCTATAGTTTGATTTGTTTTCTTTAATTCTTTATTACCTTCTTACTGCTTGTATTTGATTTATGCTAATGATGCAAAAGTTTTGTTTTAAACATTGTCAATTCTAAACTTTGACATGTGCTGGGTATAAATTCAATAAGGGAATCTGCACAAGTCTAGTTTTGTTGTCACTACTAGTTTTGAAAAGGATTACTTCTGGTAATTTGACTTTCTAAATCAGCAACTAATATCTGCAGGGGTGGTGGTGGTGACTTGTGCACTCATTGTTTCAGTGCCTGGGAAAAAAAGAAAGACAAAACTAGAAACGGTAGGAGTTCAGCAAAAAGGAAGTCTTGTTCGATATGGATTTTTAACATCAGCTAGTTCAGGTAATGAATTTTTTTAGAACTAAATTTTTTTTAAATTCTTTTTTAAAATTTTTCATACCTGTTTGAGATCTATATATATAAGTGTGAATGAGTGAGTGTGTTTTCTCTGAAAGTTTTAAGTTGTATTATTGGTCTGTCATAAGTTGGGTGACCATACAAGAACAAAAAGGTTCTCATCCAATTCCCATTTGTAGCATTGCTCTGTTTTTGTTGATGTGCAGAGCATTATGAAACTCCGCTTACATCGTGTTGGGTCACCATACTGTTTTTGTATTATTGGACTATCGTATTCTCTTTTTTCTTTTTTGTCTCTTTTTGTAGATTTTAATTTTTGGTGGTGGCAAAATAAGACACACTCATAGTCAGTAGCAGAACTTCATATAATTGGATTAGAATTATATGACATAATTGCTTCTTTTTATTTTATTTTTATTTTTTTATATCATAATAATGTGCTAGGCTTTAGAAGCTTAGGTTGCTGTTAGAGAGGAGCTGTATTAAGATGTTACACCAACAACTCAGTTCCTACCCTTTTAGCAGTAAGTTTGTAGTTGTGAGAGGGTGGTGACCACCTTCTTTGGTTTGAAGCTTTCCATTGTTTTTGTCAAATATTATCATTGTATGTGGTTAGTAGTTTTTTTTTGGTGAATATGTGGTTAGTAGTTGCTGATTGAATAGAATTGAAAGTGCAGAACATATGCGGAAATGATGTACCTTTGAGCAGTTACAATGGGAAATGAGCAATTACAATGGGAGGTTGTTCTGATTATGAATGTTGCTTCAAAATGGCAAGTGACTTTATATATCCTAGTTAGTCAAATCTATTATATTTACATGGTTAATTTGCCTCCTCTTCTTCTTCTTCTTCTTCTTCTTCTTCTTTTTCTTATTCTCTCTTTTCTTTTGATAATCATTCATACGTAAAAAATTTTTTTTTTTTTGTTTTTGTTTTTGTCCTTGCTGTTAATTACTTTATTGATCTTTGGGCCATATTCTTCTTCTTTTATTTCCCTAGGAATATTCAGAGCTCTTTGGATTTATTCATAATGCTACTTCTTTCTTGAAACCTACTTTGTTGCTTGGCATATGACTTCTTGTTTATTGTTTGTTTGAGTTTACAAAGATAATATAGACTACAAAGTTCTTTTAATCATATTCAAGTTGTTCAATTCAAACTAACATAAACGTAATTCTTGAAAATATTCTATTGATGATAAAATAAAGCTGATATATAAGGCAAGTATGCAAATACAGATTTGTATATATATATATGCAGTGATAAGGTGTGAAGAAGAAGAAGAAGAAGAAGAGACCTGACGGATGGAATTGGCGGTGGAGATTCGATCAGGAGAAGCGAGGTCTATGATGGGAAGTTGTAGAGCTTTCGCCATTTCTTCCCCTGCAAATTTGTATTCAAATCGAATTTGATACAGTTTGTCTTAGACCATCTACAACATGTATTCTTGTTTTCCAATAAAATAAGTCAAGTTGCCAATCTTGACATTATACCCATATACCCATAATGGACAATGATGGCTCAGGAACAAAAGAGCCGAAAACAATCCAAAAGCAATGCACTGTATTACATATTATATTAACCGAAAGCTGCACTATATTTAGGCACTATATTATATTACTAACAATAGGCACTATATTATATTACTAAGGCTAAGTTTGGCAACATCAAAATAATTCATCTTTTTATCTTTTTTTCATTACATCACCTCTCTACTTTTCTGCACATTTTTTCGTAAAAAGACAAAAAGTACACTTATTTAGGTCATTTCAAATAATCCCTAACATTTACCAATAAAATAAGAAGTTGCCAATCATGACATTATACCCATATCAAATTTGTTTTCCAATAAAATAAGTCAAGTTGCCAATCTTGACATTATACCCATATAAAATAGAAGATTATTTTTGACTTTTCATCAAATTGAAATATCTCTAACAAATTGAGGATATGGTTCTAGTTTATTTATATAAAACCAGTCGATTGGCCGGACATCTATTTGGTCAATAATTTGATAAAAAATATAAAAATTTCATTGGAACGTTTAGGTGTAATTTGGTAATACTAAGTATTAGATGAAGTTTTTATTCAAATTTTTACTTAAATTTGATAAAATAAAATAAAATAAAAAAGAATATGAGTTGGAGATGTTTTTAGAGGAAACACTTACGGAGCTTTTAATTAAAAATAAAAATATGGCATAATTTTAATTTTTTTAAAATTATAAGTTAAAAAAATATCATAACTTAAAATAATTAAAAAATTCATCGATTATAACTAAAATAATGTCATTACAAAAAAAAAAAAAATTTAAAACTTAAATTTTTTTTAAAAAAAATATAATTAAAGGACATAGAAGTGTGTATATTAAAATTTTCCTTCTTAGAAACCCAGCCAGCTCATATATTGACTTCGTAGGACTAGACCAGAGCTTTCTCAAAATTCATTTTTGAGTTAATTACAATTTTTCCCAAAATAATTTGATACAAATTTCATTTTATTTGTATAGTATTACTAAAATGATTGTCAATTTTGTAAGGTATATACATACATAAAATTAATAAAAATTTAGACAAAATAATCAAACCTACTTTTATTTTCTATTTCCAACCTACTTTTTATTCCAATCTTGAATTAATCATTGGCTCAAGTCACTTGTTAATATTTGTTTTCATTTTTGTATGAATATTCTATAATTTGTTGGAGAAATTTACCTTTTAATTAGTTAAACTTATTTAGTAGTAGTTTTTGGAAAGACTTCACTATAGATAATGATGGGGGCAATTTAAAAGAAACTTTCACACTACAATTTCATTTGCATTGGACTCATTGATGCATTGTGTATAAGTGGCTTTTTGGTAGTTGTTTTCTTTAGATATATATATATTTTTTTTGTTGATTTTTATTTTCTTGGCCTTTATTAAACTTGTTTAAAATAATTATCAAAATTTTTTACTCTCAAAAATTGAACAAGAAAAAATTGGACATGCAAGCCTTAATAAATTTTTCATGATGCATCTCTCCATTTCAACTTCACAGAATGATTGAAATAGCTATTTTAACTCCAAAAAAATCGCCTTTAATGTTCGATAACACACAAGTAGTTGTAGTATAAGCTAAATAGTAATAAAAAAAAATCTTTGTAAAAAGAGTCCGATCACAAAATGAGACACAATTGTAAGTATAAATGTCTAATTCTATGATTAAATTTTGTGCATGTAGAAGAACTGAAATAGTAATAATATACTACAAAGAAGTCTCAGTCATACCACAATATGAAAATGCATTCATGCCTAGCTAATATTAAACCACTAACTAGTGCACCATGTAGTAAAACATATGCAACACAAAATATCCAGAAGACATTGTCACTACCATGTTCAATACACATATCAAACACATAAACTTCTCATCTCCTAACAGCGATTCAAAGCTTCAATGAGCTTGGAATTGGCTAGAGGTAATCAAACATGTCAGCTGGCAATTCATCAAAGAAACCATCAGCTCTTCCATCGTTCCTCCCCGTGCCATCCAATTCAAGGAATGGTGAGCCAAAGTTGATCTGTGACACATTTTCAAGTTCAACAGCTTGTCGAGTGCTCGTGAACACATCAAGAAAGTTGGATTCACTGAGGCCCAAGACGGAGTCGTGGCTTTCGGGCAAGAATGGGAGGTGGGTGAAGGAGTGTTGGAGAGGGGTTTGAGTTGAGGACTTGTTGTGATGGTCAGTCTCTATGGTGTCAAGTAAGGGCATGGTTGTTGAGTCTAGATTGATCGAGTTTGGGGTCATCATGAAATTGGGTAGTGACATTATCTGCAATATTTCAGAGTTTCCCATGGAAGAAGAGGGGCAAGATTGACATTTTGAAGATGATGATGCTTCTTCTTTCATTTGGGGGGTATTGAACTCTGGTGCCTGATATATGAGACACATGCTTACTATAAGATACTGCTTAGGAAAACAGAGCATGTGACAACAAAAACTACATGATAGATGAACAAATGATGGATATTCAGTCCAATGTACAAGAAACTACACATAGATTATGGTAGAGTATTGAAAAATGTACATTCAGTCCAGTAAAAATAAAATAAAATAAACCTCAGTTATTGATATTTATGAATCAATGTAAAGTAGACAACCTATGGAAAGCATTAAAGTGGTCTGCAGTTGCATTGGGAAGTGCTTCAGCTAACCACAAAAGTATTAAGAAAAATGCTATGAACCCCATTTAAATACCCCGAATGGGAGTTGTGTGGTTGAAATTGAACTTGTGTAGTGTGGGGTCCATGTGTAGAATAAATTTGAACCACAAAATGACAATTCTGAGTAATTTCTGGGTAGTTAAGATTGGGTTTGTAGTATTACTGAAGTATTAAAGTGTGTCCCAGCCTCAATGTTAAATCTTCGGAAAATAATTTGCAAACATAAATTTTATACAGAAAATCCTACCAAAATGATATGGCAATGGTACTTTGGAAATAAATAGATATAAAACAGCCACATTATTATGTATAGATTTTATATATGATTTTTCTATTTGTATATCATTACTCTAAATCTTCAAACTCCTCATAGGTCAAAGTCCTCAAGAATCGGAGATTGACATTAAACCCCAATTTTATAGTTCTAATGACATTATTAGCAATAGTCCATACAAAAATAAACTTCTTGACTTCAAAACACGGAAGTACGATACTTCATTATATGCTTAAAAATTAGAATTTTCATTTTGTCCTTTACACTACAACAATCAAAATCAGAACTCACCCAGAAAAAACTTTTGAAACAATACTGGAAATATAACTCACTATTATGCATGAATAGTACTACTCGGCATTATGGGGACAATTAGTGTTTGTTCGGCAAAAAGCCGTTGAGCTACCAGGGTGACTCAGAGCATTTATTACAATCAATCGTTGACAATCTATGCATAAAAATCCACTTGAACCACACAAAAGTTAAAGCAGTCTAGTTAAAAATTCATCTGCGAAGATAAAACAAAGAAAGACCAAACATTTTAGTTTTTGGTCATAAAATGCAAAGAAACTTTAATAATAATAATAATAACTACTCGAAGATTCTCCTTCCCATGCATCCTAAGAAGCACAGACCACTTCTAAGAAAGCGATATGTCCATGTTGGACATCGACACTCTCGGACACATGTTTGATACTCTTTTTTATGTGTCCTTTATTAAAATTAAAAATATTACTTTCGAACACGTGTCCGACACTCATTTTACAACATGCCCATCACTTCTTGGCCATGTCTATCACTAAAAATATAAACACGAGACCAGCACTTTGACATTTGCTAACGCATGATTTTCAAAATTTGAGAATTTGACGTACATATTTTATATTCTTAAAAACAATGTAGGATTGCTAATAATAACAGAATGTATAATTCTTTAAATATATATATATATATATATATAAATAGATGGCTTAAGAGGATGAGAGAAATGTTGCAATTATATATGTTTCCTAATTCATGTAAGCGAATTAGATAAAAGATTTACTTAATATAAAGTAATATTATGCACATATTATATCAAAATATAATTGTTTGTGGCGTGTCCAAGCCGCGTCGGTCTCCTACGTTTTTGCAATTTTTTGTGATGACGTATCCGTGTCATATATGTGTCCCGTATCCCTGTCTATGCTTCACAGCATGCATCCGAGCAAAACTGAGTAACTAATCCAAGGTTGGTTCCTAAGAAATTATTGATGAAAAAAATAATTCTAAGTTCTGAATTTTATATTCATTATTAGTTTGAGCTATGTGAAAAAAGAAAATAAATCATTGTGATCTCTCATTTGAGTGAAAAAGAGATAAGAAATGACGGTATTTTCTCACAAATCATCATGCTTGAACAAGCAAATTCTCTTTATTTCCATTTCTCATAATTTCTTATTCAATTTGTAAACCAAATATGAGCTCTTTTTCATAATTTTTATTAATATCTCATCAATCACTCAAATCCACATAGAAAACCATCAACCCAAATCAAATAAACTCATCATTTCTCTGCTTAAACCCTTCATTCTTAGTAAACAACTAAAAAATAAATAGTATTGACTCATTCATTCAATTTCGAATTCGATTCTTCACAATTATCACCAAACAAAGATAAACAAAATAAAACTTTGTAGATGCAGAACTTCAAAATTAAAACCACTGAACCCATAAATTAACCAAACAAAGTTCGAACCTTTCTTTCTTTCCCGACTGGACGACGACCCGGGAACAAAATCCTCCAACGCATACCCATCTCCAGCGGCGCCGCCGTGGTCTGGCGTGTCTCCGGGAGAGTCATGGTTGTTTCCGGCGAGGCCATTTTGAAGGTTACCGCTACTGGATCCGGTGTAATGGGTCAAGTTACCCATACTGGAACTCTTCCGGATCGATCCATCAGTCAACCGGACTCCGAATAGCTTGACTCCACGGTTCGGGCAGGTCCGAGAGTTCTGGCCATTGTGGCTGCAATACGAACACCGCCGAGTCATGATCCCTCTCTCTCTCTCTCTCTCGCTCTCTCGGGTCTCCAAATCGAATCCACCAAAACCCAGATTCGAATTCGGATTAATTACATGATCCGAGGCGATTAGGGCTTTGAGAAAATTGGTTGTGGTGGAGTTCGAGTTAGTGTTTGGTTGAATAGATTTTGATTCAAAGATTTTGGGTATGTTTGGTTTGAGTTTGGGTGATGAAGTTTAGAGATAAAAAGTACGAAAAGTTGTTTGGTTTAGTTTTTTTTTAAAGATGTTTTGGAAAATTATTTTGAGAGAGAGTTTTGGAAAAAGTGATTGATTTGATGTGTATGAGAGAGAGATTTGTTTGGAAAACTTGTAAACCAAACAAGTTTTAAGAAATTTTTTTGGGAAAATTTATTTGGTTTGATTACTTTTAAAAACTTATTTGTAGAGAATTTTTCTCAAAAATTTTTGAGAAACACAAACCAAACAAGGCCTTTCTATTTCTTTTTCTCTCTCGAAATTTGGAGATGCGATATATAGATGTAGAGAGAGAAAATGAGTGAAAGAGGAGAGAGAGACGCGGTGGACAAATATGGATCACAAAAATTTCTTATAAAAACATTTTTTTTTATAAATTTTGATTGATAAAAGTCTATATGCACTTATAAAAAAAGAAAAATATTTGAGGGCCATAATTTTTGTGGTTAAAATGGCTTGAAATTACTAAAATAATGTCGTTTTGACAATTTTGAAGTTGTTTTGTACTCAAAACGACGTCGTTTAGGCAATTTCGAGCCATTTGAGCCACAAAAATTATGGGCCTCAACCATTACTGATAAAAAAATACAATATAAAGCCAAGTGAGATTTTTTTTTCTAAACTGTTAAATTTTTATCCGTCAGAATTTATAAAAAAATACTTTTTTTTTTGTAGGAATAAATTATTTTCATAAAAAGATATTAGGATAATGATATAAAAGTTGTAACTATAAAAAAAAAAAAAAAACCTTAGGCCAATTTTCCCTTTAAAATAATATCATTGCTAATATCATAATAAATTATGACTAATACCATATATGTATAATTAAGTCATAAAATATAGAATTTTCTAAAATATTATGATGTTTTTTTGTTATTGTTTGGCAAGAAAAAAAAATTAGTTGGCTTTTTGGAGTTTTCGTTTGGCAAAGTTTTTTGATTTTTGTAAAAGAAAAAGTGAAATGATTATGGTTTGAATATGACATTTTGTCTTATTGATTCATTTAGCCTATTTTGTCTTTTTATTTTTTTAATCCTAATTAAGATAGCTAAACAAAGGTTTTGTATATATATTTATACTAGTAAAAATAATTACAGTTCAAAAAATTTCCAATGTAATAAAGTTGCACACAAAATATGATGGTTTATGGGCATATGAGAATTGTCTAATATCTAGAATATTACATAGATGTTTAATAGTAATATTTAGATTTTTTTAAAAAATGTATTTTTTATTGTCAAAAGGACATATCATTTGTCTTATAAGTTGGATCAAGTGGATAACTTTTTGTATTTTACAAATATTTTTGAGTTGATTTGATAAAATAAAAAGAGAGAGAGAGAGAGAGAGAAGTTTGAGTTGTTAATGATAAGGGGTTGTTTGGGGGTGTCCTAAATAAGTGTACTTTTTGTCTTTTTGGACTAAAAAATTGAAAAAAAAATATGGATGTTTGGGTTAACTTTTTGACTTTTTATGGAAAAATGTGTATTAACAAATTGTATAATTAGTGTGTATAGGAATAGAAAAATTAGGATTGAGAGTTGTGCAGCCGTAATTGTTGACTTTTGGTGAATAGTGTTAACTTTTTAAACTTTTTGAATAACTTTTTGGCTTTTTATGGACTTGCCAAACTTGACCTAAATTACTTAAAAGATTGAGTCTATAGAAACATTAGGGGACGGTGTAAAGATTTGATGTGAAGTTTAAGTTTGAATTATTCTAATAAGTCATATGGTCTTTAATTTTAAGATCTCAAAATTAGTTAAGATACATACAAATTAATTTAGATACTCAATTATTGACTCTATAGAACACTTGGTATGTTTGTATAATAGCTAGGTTTATTAAGTACTTTCAAGGACCCTTTAATAGTAAAGATATTTAATTATTTTACTTTCGAGATTAATTGATGTACACGCAAACTGACTCAACCATCTGATTATTGATTTTATAAATCACTTGGCACGTCTATAGAATAATTAAGTTTATTTTATTTATTTATTTGAAGAAATTGAGATCATTCATTCTAATAATAAAAGCAACATACAATTCCATCCACATACAAAACATAGTTCAGACCTGAATTACGTCTAACTTCATGGGCAGCCTAAACATCCTTTCTATTTACCTTAGTAATACATACATGATCCAAACTACTACAAAGATAACTAATATCATTCCCAATAGAGTACAATTTCTATTCCACCGCCTTCTTTGTTTCGATCCTCCATAGCAACACTTGAAAATCTGTGAGAATATTAACTGATAAAAATTCTGTGCTGTGAACACTATTTGAGCACCTCCAAAAAACTAAGTTCATTGATCACCTAAGCGAGTAAGGGCATCTAATTGGCTTATCCTCTATTTTTCTAACAAGATAAGTATATATTTTACTATTATGTGGCCACATAACTCATGGCTCCTTTTTTGGGGTTGGTGGAACAAATTATAAAGAAAAGGACATACAAGTCATTTCCTCCCCCCAAGGGTGGCCCAGCGGGTGAGGGAAAAAAACTTGGGGTCTGGGAGTTTGCTCCTCCTGGAGGTCCCAAGTTCGAATCCCACTCCCCACGGGTTATTGTGTGGGCCACTGGAGGTTTACCCGGTCGTGGGGATACCTGAGTTATCAAAAAAAAAAAAAAAAAAGTCATTTCCTCCCCCCAATAAAAGCTATCATTTTAAAGCTTTCATATGAAAGTATCAATCACTTTTGAGGTCATTATATATGGAAATAGATTTACAAAGCTTTCAAATGAATTCCATCATTTTTTAATTAATTAAAATGAATCTAACATAGATTGAGTAAATATATAAAACACGAAATAAATAGATAATATATATCTATCAACAAATATTATTTTTCTTCATAATAGATTGAAAGCCACAACAACCCCCAAGTAACGAGTTCCCACCAACTTCTTAAACAAATTCTTTGAGTTAATAAATGTATAAACATGGGAAAATTAGTAAAAAAATTAACACTCTCAAGAAAAAAATAGTCTAGTTGAAGTAGAAGCATATATGTAAGTAAATACATAGTCAAGCATAAATTGTGGATTATTTTTATGGCACAATCAAGTAAAATTATAAGAAATGACAGAAAACTAATATTAAAAAAATTAATTATAATTGATATTCAAAATTTTATTATATCCCTCTTACTTTCTCCTGTTTGTTAGGACAAGGACAAAACAGTAAAAAGCATGGTTTATTCTTAGAGATGGACCACGGAGGGGGCTGGCAGAGGTAACCGCCACCTCAAAGTTTTGAGAAAATCCCCTAGATATAGTAATAAAATTACAAATATTTTTAAATTATATAAGTTTGCCACCCCAAAATTTTTGCAAAAAATTTAAGAACCGCCACCCCCTAAATTTTGTACTTTAAAATTTATTTATTTTTTGATAAATATTAAAATTTCAATAGCAATAATTTATTTTTTAAGTATGATTACTTTTTTATTTTAAATTAGTAATGTTAAAATAATTAAGAATTTATTTGTTAATATGTGAAAGTTTTTTTTGTCTAATTACGGCCCAAATTTTTTAATTGTTTCCTTATAACTAAATAAAAAATAAAAAATAAAAATAATTATTCAAGAAGATACAAGTCTCAATCATATGTAGGCAGCAGTAGCCTACCTAGAGCAGTCATCATATATTCAAAACAAAGAAACTTCTCTTCTCTTCTCTCTTTTATTTCACAACCAGTGAACTCAAATCATCAGAACCAGTCACCCAAAACACAATCTCTCTCTCGTGCGTCATGAGTCTTCCGGCGTTCAAGATCGTGATTCCTCCGGCAATACTTCAGTACTCTCTCTCTCTCTCTGTCTCTCTCTCTCTCTCAGAGTAAGGGTTTATTATTTGGGAAAAAAGATTAGACTATGAACTTGGTAATGCTAGTAATGGAACCATTTGTGTAATTCCTTTTTAGGGAAAAAGGATTCGAGCACAACTTTAGATGATTAAGTAGATATGTAGAGCAAATAGTTGCTTTTTTGAAAATTAATATGGATTTACTAGAACATATTCAATTGTATTTTGATAATATTTTATAATTATATACAATGAATGGAAACATCTAATTATATATTTTTGTAATATTTGGATAGAAATTGATATTGTATGTCACATACTCATTATAAATTTTTTAATTACATATACAATCGCCCCCTCGATATTAAAATCTTGCGTCCGTCCCTATTTATTCAGACTTCGTTTGGAAAGTAAGCTGACTTTTTGACTTTTTGGCTGGCCTCATTTGAGAATATGTTATTTTAATAAATTTTAACTTTTTACGAAAAGATTTACAAAAAAAATAAAGAGAATGATGTGACAACTTGTAGTGACTTTTTGACTAAAATACTTACTCTCCAAATCTCGTTAGACTTTTTGATTTTTTTAACTTTTGCCAAAGAAAAAACAAAATAATTATGATTTAGATATGATATTTTATCTTATTAATTTTTTAATTTATTTTATCATTTTATAACTATTTTAGTTTAGTAGTCCCATTAAATCGTTTTATAACTATTTTAATTTAATAGTCCCATTGCAAACGAGGGCTCATTTAAAGATTGTTCTTGCCATTTTGTATATTTGTAAATCAACTATTAATAAAAATTACTTATTCATATATTAATTATTGAACAAAAATAATTATTCTAACATCAAGTACCAATTATATTTTTATTCTATAATTGATATCTAAATTGCTAATTTAGTTTAATAATTGATATATGTATTTATTTACGTCACATCATATCTCTATTTTTTTATATATTTTTTTTATAAAAATAAAAAAATACACTAAATAAGCAAATCGTAAGCAGCCCCTTAAATAAAAAATAATGTAAATTGAGATTTTTTATAATATACAGATAGAAATTATTGTCAAATAATGGATAATGTAAAATTAAATTAAAATAGACCATGCAGAAGTGTATGTATAGCAAATGGTAGGGAGGTCAACGTGACACAAAGGCGTATATTCTTGGATATAATCCAACACAAGATTTCTTATCGTACAAAGCACATTATAAA